GGCGAACGATCTATCCTTCGATTTAAGAGTTGAGAATTCTAGTCAGAACTCTAGCCTAAACTTAGAAGATTTTAGTGTAACCGGAACTCTAGCCAAGCTAGGTGCTTTCGGCAAATTGATAATAAATTTATTAAAGTATGGTGTAGCTATTTCTTAATCGGCTATACTGTTCCAGTCAAAATTTCAAGAGAGTTAGTTATTGTGTACCTTATCGCTTGTTATTTCTTTTACTGTTTGAGGTACTTGTGTAAATTGATTGAAGGATCTAGACGGGTGAGTGATCCCGTCTTGGTCAAGATGTCATATTTCAGTTATGACTTACATGAGTGGGCGATGCCCAGCCTAAGTCTAGCGTCCAGATGAGTGGGCAATGCCCAGCCTGGATTGCGGGAATGTCAGATGTCAGTTATGACTTAGATGTGCGATGCGATGCCCAACTTAAGTCCAGCGTCCAGATGAGTGGGCGATGCCCAACCTGGATTTCTGTGGGAGGGGACCCCCAAAAGGTGCACATGAGTACCGGATTACCGATAGTCCCATAGTTAGCCAATTTATTTGTGCATATGCAGATCTCTGGTGGGCTTCGTACTGGGAGAAGTACCACCCGTCCCACTACAGAGAGAAGATAGACGGAGAAGAGAGACCCAATTACAAATACCCAAGCCACTACAGCCGGTTCCACCAGCTTGCGCCACATGCGAACGCCACCACCCAGGGCGTTACAATAGTACAGGAATATACCAACGATAGACCATAGCAGTCACCAGAAGGTCCGAGAAGAGCCAGAAGCAGAAGAAAAACTAACCCTCGAGCGTACGAGAGTTGTAAATGAGCATAACACCTGAGAGCCTGCGTTTTAGATGATAATTGCGTTTTGGAGAACGATTCGTTACAAAAACAGTTAACAAATGACTTTTGGCGTAGACACCATACGATCTTATACTAACACAAGTGCAATTCGCCAACGTATCGAGATAGTATTTAAGAGAGAAGGTTTCGCGATCAAGAGTGGACCGGAGAACGATCGGGAAGATACCTGAGTATTCTAGCCAAGGATTGAACTTAAGTTTCAAGTTCTAATTTCAGTTGCGTCTATGTAGTACCGGTTTCCAGTGTATAATAGTCACTATTTCGGGTGACCATGGCGGCTTGAAATAAGAGTCACTAAGTTGGGTATACCATGGAGGCTTGAAACTGGACCGGGACAAACATAGTTCTCCATACGAGATAGCTTGTATGCCACGCCCGAGGGCCCCGGGCACCCGAGCTTGCGCAACGAAGCCCTAGGCCCGCAGCCGTCGGTTTCAGCTCGAGTTCATGAGCCCAGTCCGACCAGCGCCCCTTCGTCGACCTCAGTTTGCACCTCCGATGACTCAGCGATCCCGAACACGCGCAGCCCAGCCGAGTTCCGCCGTGACCGAGTCAGCCGATTCCAGTGCCGTCCAGGCGAGTCCGCCGCAATCTGTCCCGGTTCTAACCTACTCGCGGCTGTGCGCCGCCTCCTAGCCACCACAAACATGTAACTCGGTCGTTTCAGACAGTCAACTAGTACCGAGTTGACTAGCCCAGCCTCAGCTTTGACCCGGTCAGCACCCAGGACCGACTCGCTGCCCCAAAATCGAGTGGTTCCACCCTAGACTCGACCCAGTTCAAGCTCCGCTTCCTTTTCTCTAGCTTTCTCAACTTTTCAATCTTCGATTCGAGCCGATTTGAGGTAGAATGGCTTGAACTCAACTCCAATGGCTTACATATAATTATTGAGATATTATGAAAATGATAAGTTGGTGATTTGAGCGAGTTTGAATTTATCGGGATTATCGAGCTTGAAGTTGATTTTTCGGACTTGTTAAATAAATGCGATAAAATGACGAAATAAATTTTATAAAATTTTTGGTGTTGTCTTGAGGCTTAAGATGCGAACGAGAAAATTTTTAGAGTTCGTTTGATAGGCTAACGCGATATTTGAATATGTTGACCGGTTGAAGCGATTACTAGATAAATGGGTTAGGATTTGACTTTTGACTCAATATTTTGACCATGGACCATGTATGTGTTGAGGATGCTGTGTTTCAAATTTCGTGAATTTTGGACACCGTTTGACTTAGATTATAAATCGGGACTTTAGTCGATAAATGCGATAATTGTAGAAATTAGCCGATTGTGATTTTAGCTGCAAATTATAGATGTAAAATCCTTATAAATCACTAAGAAACTATGATTTAAGTATCAACGTTAAATAAGTAGGATTTTCGAGAATTAGAAACCCTAGTTTTATCCGATTCCGATAATCGGGTATTATTTCAAATCCGAGTTTAACCGACCGAATCCTAGCGCCGTTTAAATAATTTTTAGATGTCGTATCATTAACTCGTAACGCGTATCGTCATCCCACACACGTTCTCGACTCTCGTCTGACAGTTGGAGACGAACCATTGAGTGCGTGCCCGTGCACCAAGTCCGAGTCAAACCACCGAGTGGATGCCCGTGCACTAAGTCCATCCGATCCACTGTCTACGCGCTGTTTCCGTTAGCTGTGGTCCAAGCACGCCCCTGGTTCAGTGAATCGAACGCTAGTCCATTCAGATCTTGTATTTCAACATATCAGGTGGGGACCTGTACTGGGTACTACATTTTCTATAATCACATTACCATGGCTGAGGTATGTATGTAAGATTCCGCCCGAATAGGGGCAATTACCTAGCGATTAGATCCTTTCTTGCTAGGTGAATCGAATGCTAGTTAAAATGAGATAAGAATTCTAGTGCAGCTTTGAGTAAGTGAATTCAGAACCCTAGAGCAGCCTTGAGTTAAGTTTATTTTCAGACGATCTTAGAATAATTCTTCCTTAAAGGACATTGATCTAGAGATAGGTTTCGTTATAAACAAGTATTTCAAATCCCCAGTTAGTATCAAGGACTCTAGTGCAGTTGTGAGTTAAGCTCCAACCATAGAAGTGTATATGAGGTAGTTTTGCCCTAGTATGGGCAACGACCTACAGATTAGGTCCTACAGTTGCTTATCGTGAGCGTGAAGACCTAGTGTCCTTCTCGTCTGTTAAGCAGTCAGTTTGCAATTATACACAGTCAGTTGAGCAGCAATTAAGATAGTTAGTTGAGCAGTAGTTATAGACAATTATACTTATTTATACGCATTTGTGACGTGTTCTATCATATTAGATGTATGCTTAGGTTGTGATGTGTTTCATCATATTAGATGTATGCTTAGGTTGTGATGTGCTTATCATATCAGATGTATGTTTAGTTCGTGATGTTGCAGTTATATATAGTTAGTCAGTTGAGCAGTCGTTATAGTTAGTCAGTTGAGCAGCAATTATAGCCAGCCAGTCGAGCAATCATTATATTTAGTCAGTTGAACAACAATTATAGTCAGCCAATCGAGCAATCATTATAGTTAGTTAGTTGAGCAACAATTATAGTCAGCCAGTTGAGAAGCCATTATAGTAGTCAGTTGAGCATCAGTTATAGTTATCCAGTCGAGCAGAAATTATAGACAGTCGGCTGAGCAGCGGTTATAGGCAGTCAGCTAAGTAGCAGCGATAGATAGTTTGCCGATTTAAGTGTTTATTGGATGAATGCCTAATCTGTTAGTAAAATGTTCATCATCATATCGTTTCCTGCCGACCCAGTAAGTACTTGCATTTATGTCGATGTCATGATATGTTATTATATTAGCTGTATATTTCAGTGCCGGTTCCGACGGAGCACTTGGATTATTTATGCTCACGCCCCCCCACTAACCATTTTCAGGTGACGGTGTCGGGCGTAGAGCGTGAGCCGATGATGTGGTGGTGGTCATAGTAAGGATATTTTTAGTAAACATGTCATTTATATTTAAAAATGTTTGAGTTATGATGCTTTGTTCATGCATGCTTGCATTTGCTTCCGTACTTAATATTTCAGTATTACCGTATTTTGGTATCTAGAATTTTAGCCTATGTATTGATATGGTTTTTGGTAAACCAAATTAGCGAAACTTATCAGGCTTTTACGCTCATTAAGTGGAGGATTATATTCATTCAAAAGGAGAACATCTTCAAGGATCCCAAAGCAGTCACATATCGAGAGAAAATGGATCAAGAACCGACATCTTCATCAACTAACCGACATCTCATATCGGTTGTGACATGTCGGGTACGACATGTCGGTTAGGACATATCGGTTATGGCTAATTAAACCGATATCTATGACTTGCCACACCGACACCATAAGGCGGCGCCAACTCAACACAAATCATCATTACACCTGGCCAAGTGGCGCGCTACCAAGATAAATGGCAATTAGCCGCCGTTGACTATTCTCATGTAATGATTATATTGCTGATAAGTGTTGTAAATTAATATATATACAGAAAAAATAGACTCTCCAGGGGGGAGACACATTAAAAAAAATATACAATAATATTCAATAAATTTTCCCTTTCGGTTATCAGGTTCTGTATCTCTTTCTCTTGAATACCCCGCGTGTTTTTCATTGAATTATCGTTGTTAATTGCCACATAACAACAGTTTGGCGCTAGAGGAAGGGCCGTCCATAACATTTTTTAGGTTAACTTTCGTTGTTATAGCCATTTCCTCGCTTGAAGTTACCATGTCGCAATTTGGACGAGATCATACGGCTCATCCTGGCCAGAGCCAATCGACTAATCATTCTCCAAGACGTTCAACACCACCTCCTCCAGTCACAAATATCACGAACTTCCTTCAAAACCCGGAGTTTATTCAAGGTTTAGCCTCTCTTATAGCTCGAGCCATGCCCAGACACTCGAGTACTATACCAGTATCTACGCCGCTTCCTATGAATCCGATGGAACACCCAAATCTTACTCATCATGACCCTAAAACACATGCGGCGACATCACATGCTACGTCACAACAACACCATACTTCTCCACGTCGAGACGAGTTAACTCGTATAACTGCTAATCCAGTAACGAACAACCAGGTCGCGGAGGAACCTCCTGTTCAAGAAATGACTGCTGAGAGTCATTCTGCTCATCGTCAAAGAATTCCGTCACGGCCCAGACCTATCTCACCGGTACCTCGTGACCGTGAAGATTTACGGCGTCGGATTGAACGGAATCGCATGTCAAGACATAGTGCTGAAGAAATCGAGGTTCTCCGTAAAAGATTGGCTGAAATTGAAACTCGACAGAAGTCACAAGAAGATTCTCCCCGAAATGTCTCAACGTCGGGGAATGTTATTATTGAAGCTGACTCGCCTTTAGCTCCAGAGCTTACTGCAGAGGCACTCCCTGCCAAGGTAAAGATTCCACAAATTGGTATGTATGACGAAACTTCGGATCCAGACGCACACTTGGGTCATTATACGTCATGGATGGACTTGCACGGAGCCTCGGACGCTTTGAGATGTCAGATGTTTTCACTCACACTGGGGCCGCGGGCGCAAAAGTGGTACTACACACTTCCACCTCATTCAATTTGGAAGTGGCAACAGTACGTGCAACTTTCCGATCACACTTCATCGGAGCTCAAGTTTGCCTTATCCCAAAAGAATCGATCACTAATATCGTCCAAAAGGATGATGAAACCATAAAGGATTACGTATCTCGATTTAACAACCGAATTCAGAACATGGAACCTTGTCACCCTGAGACCCTACTAGTGACTGCAATTGCTGGGTTAAAGCGCAATTCGATGTTTCGATGGACCTTATGCCAGAACAATCCGGCTACCTTTCAAGAATTTCTCGTACGAGCTCAACAATTCATTATCGCCGAGGATTCGATGTCGGTCCCTAGTTTTGACTTCTCGGTAAAGGAGAATAAGAATGAATCAGATGCGAAAAAGAAGAATAAGAAGAATTTTTGGAAAGCGCAATATCGGAATTATTCAAAAGGATATGAAAATACTCCGGAATCCAGAGCTGTCCGAGACCAATATGCCGACAATGTGAGGACAAGCTATCCCCGTTTATTCGGCCGGAGCAGCTACAATTTTTGAAGAACTGAAAGGAAAGGGAATTATTCCTGATCCAAAACCAGTAAGAACTTCTGAAGACAAGCTGGACAAATCTCGATACTGTGCGTACCATAAATCTCCGGGACACAATACCGATGAATGCCTCGGCCTCTTATCGGCCCTTTTACGTTTGATTGGTCAGCCTCAACTTCAAAAGTTCAGAAATTTTGACAATCGCCGGAAAGGAAGGCCCGTGGATCTTTCTGACGAGGAAGAAGATGATAATCAACCCGCCAACCTGAAAAGAGCCCGTGCGAACGATAAGAAAGTTTTTACGTTTTCTACTCTTGTCAGTACTTCGACCGATAACTACAAAAAATCCAAAACACATGACGTATCAAACTCTTCACACTGCATACCTCAAGTTAATTCTAATACCAAACAGTTGGACACTTCTCGGCGGAAAGCTAAAGCCTATGCCAGGGAAGCCCAAAATGCCGAGAAACGAGTTATGAACGTTGATCTTCGAGATACTATTAATAAGCGAAATTGTCCCATCACATTTAGTATTGAAGAAGCCAATCTGTTTGCTCATCCTCACTCTGATGCCCTTATCATTACTGCTCCGATTGGAGGAATTCCCGTTCATCGAATTATGGTTGATACAAGATCTTATTCAAGTATCCTAATGTTCCGCACTTTCAAGAAACTGGGTTTGGACCCTACAGATATCAGACCTTGCAACGACCAAATTCAAGGCTTCAACGGAAGTATTTCTTGTCCTATCGGTGAAATATTGCTCCCCATACGATTTGGTGGCTTTGGACCAAAATCCAAGATCATTATGGAAACCTTCAAAGTCTTGGATGTTCAAAATGAGTACAATGCTGTTGTAGGGCGAACTGATCTTTACAAACTCCGCGCTGCTGTGTCAATTTTTCACTATGCCTTGAAGTTCCCCACCATTGAAGGGGAAGGCACTCACTATGGAGATCAGCGGGAGGCGCGAAGTCTGACGTTGCTCTCAACTTCACGAAATCTTCATGTATGCGAGGTACGAGAGACTGATAGCTCTGTTGAGTTGAAAGATTCAATCCTTCCTGACCCCACAATGACAGATCAATCTGCTTCAAATACCGACATCTCCTCTGTCCCTGATACCGATGTCATTGAGACGTCGGATTTGCCTGAAACCTCAGATGGAGCCCTCGACCAAGGACAACCTCTTTCTGCGGAGGATATAAAAGCTCACGAAGATATAGATCCAAGGATACAATTCAAAGATAAGAGTCATCACGTTCCGGCGGAACCAGTCGAAGATGTCGAAATTATTTACATGGATGAACTAACTCAAGAAAAACCGTTGCGCATTGGAGCTAGTCTTCAAGAACCCACACGTTCGCACTTAATTCAATTTCTTCGGTCAAATTCCGACGTGTTTGCTTGGAAGCATGAAGATATGAAGGGGATAGACCCGCAGAAAGCATGTCATCGGCTAAATTTGGATAAGACCATCAAGCCCGTCATACAAAAACATCGGAAATTCGGACCAGATCGTCAGAAAGCGTTGGAAGAGGAAGTGAACAAGCTTATAGACAACAAGTTCGTTAAAGAAGCAAAATATCCGACGTGGATATCGAATCCTGTCTTGGTGAAGAAAGCTACCGGTCTTTGGCGCTTATGCATTGATTTTTCAGATTTGAACCAGGCATGCCCGAAAGATAGCTATCCAATTCCACATATCGATTACATGGTAGATGCTACATCGGGACATCAGCTCATGAGTTTTTTGGATGCCTATTCCGGTTACAATCAAATCCCCATGCACCCCGACGATGCTGAACATACTTCATTTTATTCGGGCCGAGGTCTTTATTGTTATGTCATGATGACTTTTGGATTGAAGAATGCTGGGGCCACGTATCAAAGGTTGGTCAATAAGATGTTCGCTCGTTTGATCGGTCGCACAATGGAAGTATACGTAGATGACATGTTGGTGAAATCAGAACAAGCCTCCCATCATATTGCTCATCTTTCCGAAGTCTTTGACATCCTTCGAGAATATTCAATGGTGCTTAACCCCAAGAAGTGCACCTTTGGGGTTGAATCAGAAAAATTTCTAGGATACATGGTGAGCCAGAGAGGAATCGAAGCTAATCCCGCCAAGATTCAAGCCATACTTGATTTGGCTCCTCCGACATCCATCAAAGGAGTTCAAGCTTTAACCGGTCGACTAGCAGCTCTAAATCGATTCATTTCAAAGTCGACGGATCATTGTAAACCTTTCTTTGACGCCATCAGAAAGAAGAAGCCGTTTGAATGGACCACTGAATGTCAGAGTGCTTTTGATAACATCAAAGAAGTTCTTTCACAACTACCGACGTTGCAAAAACCTCTCCCCGATGAACTTTTATATTTGTATCTGGGAGTAAGTGATGTTGTTGTTAGTGCTGTTCTTATACGACAAGATGGACTCCAGCAGTTCCCAATATATTATGTTAGCAAAGCTTTACATGACGCTGAATTGCGATATCCGTATATGAAGAAACTAGCTTTTACATTGATCATTGGTGCACGAAAATTGCGACCATATTTTCTGGAACATTCTGTTATTGTGTTCACGTCATATCCTCTCCGACAAGTCCTCCATCGACCTGACACGTCGAGAAGGATGATTAAATGGGCTATAGAACTTGGACAATTTGACATTTAGTATCGCCCACGGACTGCCATCAAAGCCCAGGTGTTATCCGACTTCATAGCAGAGTTCACCCCATCTGTTAGCACATCAATTCAGAATTCGACGTGGACTCTCTACATCGATGGATCGTCCACCGCTATACGAGCTGGAGGAGGAATCGTTTTAGTTAGTCCTGATCAACAAGTGTTTTGTTACTCTGTAGCATTCACTTTCCCGGCTACCAACAATGAAGCTGAATATGAAGCCATCTTATAAGGTCTACATTTTGCTGAGTCCATGAGTGTTTTCTCCCTCCGCATATTTTCTGACTCTCAGTTATTAGTCAGCCACATCAATGGTGCCTATGAAGTCAAGGAACCACGATTGCTGCCTTATTTCGATCTCGCCAAGAAGAAGTTATCACGATTCAAAATGACGTTGGAACATATATCTCGGTCGTCAAACATTCAAGGAGATGCTCTCTCGCGTTTGGCCGATGAATGCCTCGGCCTCTTATCGGCCCTTTTACGTTTGATTGGTCAGCCCCAACTTCAAAAGTTCAGAAATTTTGACAATCGCCGGAAAGGAAGGCCCGTGGATCTTTCTGACGATAAAGAAGATGATAATCGAACCGCCAACCTGAAAAGAGCCCGTGCGAATGATAAGGAAGTTTTTACGTTTTCTACTCTTGTCGGTACTTCGACCGATAACTACAAAAAATCCAAAACACCTGACGCATCAAACTCTTCACACTGCATACCTCGAGTTAATTCTAATACCAAACAGTTGGACACTTCTCGGCAGAAAGCTAAAGCCTATGCCAGGGAAGCCCAAAATGCCGAGAAACGAGTTATGAACGTTGATCTTCGAGATACTATTAATAAGCGAAATTGTCCCATCACATTTAGTATTGAAGACGCCAATCTGTTTGCTCATCCTCACTCTGATGCCCTTATCATTACTGCTCCGATTGGAGGAATTTCCGTTCATCGAATTATGGTTGATACAGAAGCTTATTCAAGTATCCTAATGTTCCGCACTTTCAAGAAACTGGGTTTGGACCCTGCAGATATCAGACCTTGCAATGACCAAATTCAAGGCTTCAATGGAAGTATTTCTTGTCCTATCGGTGAAATATTGCTCCCCATACGATTTGGTGGCTTTGGACCAAAATCCAAGATCATTATGGAAACCTTCAAAGTCTTGGATGTTCAAAATGAGTACAATGCTGTTGTAGGGCGAACTGCTCTTTACAAACTCCGCGCTGCTATGTCAATTTTTTACTATGCCTTGAAGTTCCCCACCATTGAAGGGGAAGGCACTCACTATGGAGATCAGCGGGAGGCGCGAAGTCTGACGTTGCTCTCAACTTCACGAAATCTTCATGTATGCGAGGGACGGGAGACTGATAGCTCTATTGAGTTGAAAGATTCAATCCTTCCTGACCCCACAATGACAGATCAATCTGCTTCAAATACCGACATCTCCTCTATCCCTGATACCGATGTCATTGAGACGTCAGATTTGCCTGAAACCTCGGATGGAGCCCTCGACCAAGGACAACCTCTTTCTGCAGAGGATATGAAAGCTCACGAAGATATAGATCCAAGGATACAATTAAAAGATAAGAGTCATCACGTTCGGGCGGAACCAGTTGAAGATGTCGAAATTATTTACATGGATGAACTAACTCAAGAAAAACCGTTGCGCATTGGAGCTAGTCTTCAAGAACCCACACGTTCGCACTTAATTCAATTTCTTCGGTCAAATTCCGACGTGTTTGCTTGGAAGCATGAAGATATGAAGGGGATAGACCCGCAGAAAGCATGTCATCGGCTAAATTTGGATAAGACCATCAAGCCCGTCATACAAAAACATCGGAAATTCGGACCAGATCGTCAGAAAGCGTTGGAAGAGGAAGTGAACAAGCTTATAGACAACAAGTTCGTTAAAGAAGCAAAATATCCGACGTGGATATCGAATCCTGTCTTGGTGAAGAAAGCTACCGGTCTTTGGCGCTTATGCATTGATTTTTCAGATTTGAACCAGGCATGCCCGAAAGATAACTATCCAATTCCACATATCGATTACATGGTAGATGCTACATCGGGACATCAGCTCATGAGTTTTTTGGACGCCTATTCCGGTTACAATCAAATCCCCATGCACCCCGACGATGCTGAACATACTTCGTTTTATTCGGGCCGAGGTCTTTATTGTTATGTCATGATGACTTTTGGATTGAAGAATGCTGAGGCCACGTATCAAAGGTTGGTCAATAAGACGTTCGCTTGTTTGATCGGTCGCACAATGGAAGTATACGTAGATGACATGTTGGTGAAATCAGAACAAGCCTCCCATCATATTGCTCATCTTTCCGAAGTCTTTGACATCCTTCGAGAATATTCAATGGTGCTTAACCCCAAGAAGTGCACCTTTGGGGTTGAATTAGGAAAATTTCTAAGATACATGGTGAGCCAGAGAGGAATCGAAGCTAATCCCGCCAAGATTCAAGCCATACTTGATTTGGCTCCTCCGACATCCATCAAAGGAGTTCAAGCTTTAACCGGTCGACTAGCAGCTCTAAATCGATTCATTTCAAAGTCGAAGGATCATTGTAAACCTTTCTTTGACGCCATCAGAAAGAAGAAGCCGTTTGAATGGACCACTGAATGTCAAAGTGCTTTTGATAACATCAAAGAAGTTCTTTCACAACTACCGACGTTGCAAAAACCTCTCCCCGATGAACTTTTATATTTGTATCTGGGAGTAAGTGATGTTGTTGTTAGCATTGTTCTTATACGACAAGATGGACTCTAGCAGTTCCCAATATATTTATGTTAGCAAAGCTTTACATGACGCTGAATTGCGATATCCGTATATGGAGAAACTAGCTTTTGCATTGATCATTACTGCACGAAAATTGCGACCATATTTTCTGGAACATTCTGTTGTTGTGTTCACGTCATATCCTCTCCGATAAGTCCTCCATCGACCTGACACGTCGAGAAGGATGATTAAATGGGCTATAGAACTTGGACAGTTTGACATTCAGTATCGCCCACGGACTGCCATCAAAGCCCAGGTGTTATCCGACTTCATAGCAGAGTTCACCCCATCTGTTAGCACATCAATTCAGAATCCGACGTGGACTCTCTACATCGATGGATCGTCCACCGCTATACGAGCTGGTGGAGGAATCGTTTTAATTAGTCCTGATCAACAAATGTTTTGTTACTCTGTAGCATTCACTTTCCCGGCTACCAACAATGAAGCTGAATATGAAGCCCTCTTATCAGGTCTATATTTTGCTGAGTCCTTGAATGTTTCCTCCCTCCGCATATTTTCTGACTCTCAGTTATTAGTCAGCCACATCAATGGCGCCTATGAAGTCAAGGAACCACGATTGCTGCCTTATTTCGATCTCGCCAAGAAGAAGTTATCGTGATTCAAAATGACATTGGAACATATACCTCGATCGTCAAACATTCAAGCAGATGCTCTCTCGCGTTTGGCCTCTTCGATCGATTTGAACAATGTTGAATTTGTGCAAATTACTCAACAGGCAACTTCTTCAACAGTCTCTACCGACGTCGCCATGATCGATGTTTTTTCGCCAATTCCAAGTTCAACTTGGATGGATCCAATCATTAACTACCTTCAAACTGGGGCCGTGACTGAAAACCCAAAAGAAGCCCGCACCCTTCGTGTTCGTGCCGCTTATTTCACAATCGATCAAGGAATATTATACAAGCGTGGATATTCCGCTCCGTTGCTCAAGTGCTTGTCAGAAATTGGCGCCCAACGTATTCTTCAAGAAGTACATGAGGGCGTCTGCGGTACCCATCAAGGAGCACAAGCTTTATCTCACAAGATTCTCCGACAAGGTTACTACTGGCCGACTGTCAAGAAAGATGCCGCCGACTGGGTGCGAAGATGTCACAAGTGTCAGATATTTGCTCCCAATGTTAACCAACATCCTGAATCCCTTAAGTCAATATACAGCCCATGGCTGTTCGCAAAATGGGGGATTGATTTAATTGGTCCGCTTCCGACAGCCAAAGGAGGTGTTCACTTTGCGATATTGGCTGCCGACTATTTCACCAAATGGGTAGAGGCTGAACCTCTTGCAACCATCACCGAACAAAAGATGATTGATTTTGTCTGGAAGTCTATCGTTTGTCGGTTTGGGATACCGAACTCTATTATAACTGACAACGGTCGTCAGTTCGAAGGGAAAAAGTTTGAAGACTTTTGTGAAGTCTATGGTATCAAGCATTTCTTCTCGTCACCTTATCATCCACAAGCTAATGGGCAAATAGAAGCTGTAAATAAGATCATCAAGAATGGCTTGAAAACTCGACTAGAGACCGCAAAAGGATCTTGGGCCGATGAGCTGCCCCATGTCCTTTGGGCCTATCAGACGACGACGCGAAACTCAACTGGAGAAACCCCGTTTTCATTAGCATACGGAACTGAAGATGTGATACCGGTTGAACTTACTTCTCCAACATATCAGATTACTCATTTTTCCGAAGAAACCAACTAAGGAAACCTGAGAGCCAATCTCGATTTGGTTGATGAACTACGGATCGATGCTGAAATTCGAAATGCTGCTTACAAACGACGTAGCGAAAAGTACATTAATTCAAAGTTCAAGCCACGTTCGTTCGTCGTGGGAGACCTCGTGTTAAAAGGAATAACCGGGGCCAATGTCAGTCCGTTGCAGCCGAAGTGGGAAGGACCCTTCAAAGTGAACCGTCTGATTTCTAATGGTACCTACCGACTTGAAACTCTAGATGGTGTTCCCCTTCAGTACCCATGGCACGCAACTTACCTGAAGAAGTACTATCAGTAAACCTGAAGGCTGAACCCTTGTCTCTGATGTATGAAAGTCTTTTGTCCTACCCATGTACAAGAATCGCATTTTGTTGTCAATAAAGTTTGTGTGACGAACCACTATAATTTGTTCGATCACTCGGACCTCAATAAATTGGTCCTCGTTGCTAAGGCTAAACGTGTTTCATACCCT